GGCACCTTACAAACGACTTATCCGTGACGGAAACGAAACCGACAAACGGACTTCAAACAGACCTACTTAAATTGACTAACAATAGACGGACCAAAAACCCACCAGAACTACCCTCACCCGGACGATCACACTATACGAACTGGCGTTCTATATCTTTTTTTTCTTTCAGCCAGTTCTTTCCTTTCACTCGTCTTCCTCTGCAGAAAGTACAACAGCAACGATTAACCAAGCTATTTCCTTTTCTGGGCTTTTTAACACATATATAAGAATAATAATTTTGTTTAAATGTTAGAAAAAATAGCAGCTGGCCACTTAATAATGACACGGTAAAATAACAATAAAAGGCAATAAAAATCTTATCAAAACAAATCATAAACTTTAATTTGCCTTTCCCCCTTCTTCTTTGGGCTAAAATTTTATACAAAAATTGAACAGCTGTTGAACAACTAGGCAGCTGCATAAGTTAATAAAGCGATTTCCGTAGTGTTAGCTTTGCCTGTTTATTAAATGTTGAGGTTTGAGGAGGCAGCGTGGCCGAGTGGTTAGGGCGCCGGACTTGAAATCCGGAGACTGCGGGTTCAAGTCCCGCTCTGACCACTATGCTGGAGTTGTTTTTCGGTAGACCCTATTTCAACGCCTCGGCTGCGCTTGTAAATAGCCAATTGGTCTGCCTCCTGTCAGTTGGGATTTTTAACCATGCCATGTTATGATCATTTTCGTTTATTTGTTTGATCATTTGGTTTCATTGGCCCTGAAAAGCCCCATTGGAGGAGTGGTCAGTTAAGATTTATTATTATTATTATTATTATTATTATTATTATTATTATTATAAGTTGCCAAAACGATTTACACGAATTTCAATTAACAGTGATGATTGAACTTCATAGAGTAAATAAGCAGAGGAGTAATTGAACTGGCAGTTTGCTGGTTATGAATTACCCAGTTTGTAATTGTTAAAACACTTGGGTATTTGTCTCGAGCGAATAAGTTCGTATACTACCCTACAATGTTCCCGAAAATGTCTTTCGTTTTGGTGAGTACAAATTGTTCCATTCTTGCTTTTAGCCGCTGACTCTATGATCAATAACTTACCACATTGGACTCTCCCAAACATTGAACTCTCTTAGTTTTTGATTCAAGTTTAAGCCATTGCAATCATAACTGGCAGGCTTGTCCTTATTAGCTTTGTAGTGTGTCCCCTTATCGTTTGAGGTAGACTAGTCGGCCTTATAGTTTATAATAACTGACTTGGGTTTATTTGTGTTTAATTTTCTAGTTTCTTCTTAGCTGAATCGTCTGTAACGTTTATAGTAATGCTCAATAAGTCAGTCTGCTTCTCTCAAATTGCCGCAAATGCTAATCATTAACAGTAATCGTTCAATTTGCCCTAATTGTATCTTTCAGTTGTTGCAACAAATTAAGTGAATTCTAACGCCAAAAGCCTGTCTTTCAAGCAATTAAAAATTGATAGACAGGAATGTGGCGGACTTTTTAGATATGCTTCCATTCTATGTTTTTGAATTGTGCCTTTGTTCTTCAGGGCTTGTGGCTTGTATGTGTTTTCTTTGCCAATCTCCCAATGGCCTCCAGCATTCAGTGTTACGTATGCACAGATTATCCAGGCTCGAGCAATCCTTGTAACGGAAGCGCCTCCGTGATCCAGTGTGAATCGTACTTCAATTCTTGCTCGTCAGTAACAATCACACTCGAGTATTCTGGCAATGACTATACATCAACTGCAAAGTACTGTTCCTCCGCTCAGTACAGCTGCGATCCTTCCATTCAGTGTGATCAAATTAACAGTTCTGTGGTATCCGGTGGTGGAAGTATGAAGCAATGTAACTTCTCCTGTTGCCACAGCGACCTGTGTAATGGCGGAGGTTGTAGTTTGTATTATTACTCTCAAAAATTCGCTGTGTATCAATTTTAAACTAAGGACAATTAATTGTACGTGTTAGATAAATCCTCACCTTTTAGAATGATTTACCACTGACACAGCTGTAGGATTATTTCACTCACGTAGCCAGCAGCCTTGCAAATTTATTGGAACAAAAAGAAAGTGTTTACAAAAGAAAAGAGTTCAGCTCTCACAAGACTGGTTAGGTACATCAGCATGGCTGCTGTTACATTGTTTTGGAACACCGATGTGGCAGCCGTGATGTCATGTGGAAGCACCGTGTAACCAAATTTACGTCGTCAGGCAGCTATTTAATTTTTCTTTCTAAATAGAACAGACTGAACAATGTCTTGTTACTGACCAAGTTTTGTGATTTGGAAGTCAATGAAGAAAAAAATAAAAAGCCTACTACAAGCACCATTTATAAACAAAACAAATATAAATCATTTCTACAGGGACAGCTAAATATGGTCAAATTTTAAAAATGTGTCATCAGTTTAAGGGTTCTTTTGTTAATTTACATTCAGCCATTCCTAATTACGTACCTTCCTAGCAAATTTTGCGAAATATTTTGCCTTTTGAAAATGACATTAAAAGCCAATATTATCGACTACATGCACCAAAAAATTGTAGTTTCTGCATACATCACGAGTGTGATAAAACACAACATATAAAAGTTATTTTGCGACGTTGACTAGCAATCTTCAAATTCAAGGTTACATTTAAAACTTGTCAAGAACCAGTTTCTGACTTTGTAGCGATCTATTTCACAGGCTCACCGCCCGCACCCGGACCAAATCCTCAGAGGTATTTCATTGTCATAAAGTTATTTTTTCCTTGATTTAGAGAGGTTAGGAAGCGAGAAACGTATAATGGAGAGAAAAGTTGCCTTATGTATCAAATCACACTAATTCCTGGAGAAATATAATAAAATTCTGTTCAAGAACGTTATTACCAGAAATAACCAACGTTATTTTACTTTGGACTCGAGTATACGCAATTACTCAGGCGACAAAGTTGCCTGCTGCACAGAATTATACAGCTGTTTCGACAAAGGTTGTCCTACAAACCTTAAGCGTACGCCACAATGCCGATTGATAGTGATAGCGTATCATTGCTTGATTGAGGTTCACGGTGTTTCAGCAAGAAGGAAAGGGAAGCATGGGTATCCGTGTTTGTGCTATTTTCTTCTATCCAGGCCGACACCTTGCAGCTTCAACCAAGACACCTAAAACCATCATTACCCATAATACCTTTCGACATTGTCGCGTACGCTTATACGCTTTTGTAGGACAACCTTTCTCAAAACAGCGGTATATTTCTTAAATGGGAGATGTTGAGAATGCTGACAAATTTAATGATTTAATATTGATGAAAACTGGATTTTTTTAAAATTTGAACATAATGTTTATTTCTTTCCTTCTATTTTATTTCTTTATTTCGACTAATTAATTGTGCTGACTATTAACTTGTAAATCTGTTGTAATGTGTTTTTTGTTATTGCTTAAAATTTCAGTCGGTTAAAGTACTACATCGAAACCTTCCGTGCCCTACTTAATCAGGTACGGACTACTGTCAATTGTCAACGATTATTGAAATCTTTTTTATACAGAATTTAAACACAGTAATGTAAAAAGTTTGTGAGAACAGAGGAGGTTATCACCAATCTTAAGCGGACAGCCAGTTACACTAGTACTGGAAGGCAATTGTTGATTTATTTTTTTCTTTATTGATGTTGTCATAGATGGAATATGTTGTGGACAACGATCTTGGCGACCATTTTTCTAGATCTGCGAGGGAATACAAAGGTGAAAGTTTAAGAAATGTTATGAGAAAATTCGCCGTTACACAGTCATTTTTTTTATTATTTGGAAAATTATAGAAAAACCAACAGTAGCCTCTTTAATCAACAACTAGAAATCTTGAGTTAATATTCTACTTTCTACATTACCGATTCTTTGTACACCTGTACCTGTGCAAAGTCGTTTCAATAACTTTCATTCAGTAGACAAATAATTCGTTATCTTCTCCTTTTGAGTTTCCCTTCCTTATATTAGTTTCCGCAAAAGTTAGCCAGCTGAACTATTTTTTAGTAATTGAGTTTTATTACTTTCTATTCATGGGATAATTCTCCCTTTCCATTAGTCACACCAATTTCGGAAATATGAAGAAATTCAAATTAAGTTTGTCACTTTTAACTTCAATTAATTTTAAGTTTGTTCTATCTTAATTTCAATCTGGGAATTTTAATCTTAGCTTTTTATTTCTAATTTTGGAAACTTCGTGGTGTTGATTAGACCTCGCTATCTTAATTAAAGTACTTTCCGCTCGTATTGCATGTTAGAAGTTGCATTATCATATTTTAAACACTTGATGTGTAAAGGATAATATATAAGCAAGTACGTTTGTAAAGCTTTTTCGATTGCGATTACGAAGATCATTGTTGCCGTGTGCAGAATAAACTACTGTTGGACCAAGTTATGTCTCTTCCTTGACGTCCGTAGTGAAGACCATTGAAGTAGATCCTCGTGTACCAGGAAATCGTGACGAATTTTCGTTCCTGCAAGCAAGCAGCGCTCTCTAGAGTTAGATTCCCCAGTTGTCAGTTCAAGTGTCCGTTCCAGTCCAATTTACACATTTGCAGGAAAAACCTATCGTCACAGAAATGACGATACACTAAGTAGAAGATAATCAGAAAGCAACAATATTTTATTTTTCTTTACCAACAGGACGTGTTAAAAGAGCCCTGAACGACATCTATGCAGCACTAAAGAATGAAGAACAACAGAAACGTAACGCCATCATCGATGAACTGAAAAGGAACGCCGCGGACTTCACGAAGGAACTGGAAACCAAGGGGGGTTAGTGACGTTAATAGTGTAACGTCACGAATAGACCAATCACAATCCTCTCAGAAGTTGTAACTGACCAATCAGAGCTCGTAGTAAAAGTTTGCTTTGAAGCGCGGGAAAAAGGTTGGGGATATCTGATTGGCCGAGAAAACAACACGTTTGTCGTCATTAGTTAGACCAGGTTGCACAACTGTCTTTTAATTAACCAATCCACGAAAAAAAAACCTCTCCACTTTTTCATGATACAATTGATTTCTAGGTCAATCCAAGAAACGAGCTACATTTTCTCGGTGACAAAAGAAACGCGAAGCCAAGAGTGACCAGCTAATGAGTAAGGCGATGAAAACCATTCAGGAAAGCTTGGCAAGGCTGATACCTCAAAAACGCTGAATAAGTGAGTGGAACAAAATCAGAATATGTTAATCCCTGCTTTGCGACTGAGACAGCCATATCTTTTTAACCAGTTTAAAACGAAGCGAACGCAAATAGATTTGCTAGTCGGCGGGAATATAGTTTTTAAAATGCATTAGCTCACTGTTCGCGGGGGAATTATTATTTACTTCTACATTCTTCCGATAAACCACGTCGGAAGGTAACTTATGTTCTCTTCTGTTACTTCCTCGTCATTTGCAGGAACACTTTTCTCATGGACAGGACGTACAGGAAATACCGGAACACAATCTGTAGATGTTAGCACCAAAACAGGAAGGAATTGATGTTTCGACACAATTAAACCTTCATTAGATCGGGAATTTAGAAACATTAGTTGATGAATAAAAGAGAGTGGGACGACTGAAATTGTGCAATTTTGATTTATTTAAGGTGCTCTGACCTTGAGTAAAAAATATATACTTCTGGGTCTTTGTTCTTCTTACAAGAGTGGCTGCCATGCATCATGGCTTGTGTAACTCTAACAGTATCGTCCTCGTCTTAACCTTCCAATCCAAGTTCTTTGACATCGCGTTTAAACAGGTGTGCACCAATTAAATTCTGTTAAATTAGAGTACTGCCCCGACCCCCCTCCTCCCTCAATACTATTCTGTGCGTTACTGAAAGGTTGACCGCAAACGGAGTAGGGGAGGGAGGGTGGTCGGAACGGAGAGATCCTGTAAGAAAATCGAATTGAAGACATCCCTTACATTTAGTGGATTCAAATCAGAGTTATATCTGTCAGTTGACTAACTGCTCTTAGCAAACGGTCAAACACATTTTCCACAATGCTCAGAATCCTATGTGAATGGCCACTAGCCATGCACACTCATTGAAACAGAACAAAGTGTTTACCTTAGAAAAGGGTGTAACTCCCTCCTAGTTGTTTGGGACATCAACATGGCTGCCGTAATGTTATTTTTTAAATTTAAAACACTCTGTTCATTTTGACGATGTAGTTTTGTTTTCAGTCTCGTTTTGAGCTCAAAGATTGCAATAGCATTTAAAAGGAATATACGGGCAATATAAGAAACGAGTAGGGGACCTTAAAGAAATCACAATGGCAACGACAATGTCACCAAACAAAGGGTTTAATGAGAAGAACAATGGCTGTGCACGTGCGTTATAAATGTTTGCAAATTTCTTTGCCGTCCTCTTCAAAACAACAACGTGAAATGACTACGTTTTGCATGTTTTGGAGATGGTTTAAAGAACGCGAAAGACGGCGGCTAATTTTTCGTATGTTGATTTTGAATTCAACGCTGGCATTGCATCTTTAAACTTAGCAAGTTCTGAGACCAATAGGTGCACTAAACAGATCTAGACAATTACGACATTCCAAGGTAAAATATAAATTCGTTGTTTACCAGGCGTTGTCCTCGGGTTTGCTCTCGTCATTGTATAAGTTCCCTAATATTGAGTGTTTATGACAACGGACCTAATTTTCTCAATCTATGTATGGCCTGTAAAGGTTGTTTTTTTCTACGAAAACCTGGAAGAACTCTTCATAAGCGCTGTCTTGTTTTTAAACTGCTAAATCTTTGAAAACAAGACAGCGCTTATGAAACTATCGATAACCCGTGATCAAAGTCAAAAACATCATGAATTAATGAAGTCTGTCCGTCAACTAGAATAATCACCTTCACTATAATAATAATTTTTGTCATGATTTCAGTGTAACGTGATCTGACAAGCTTAGTGTGTTATTTAACCTAAACTTGCCACAAGTCGACCTCATGAATTTCAGGATAGAATATGTTAGGCCGCGAAGCGGCCGTTTTTTAAGGTCGCCAAGCTGCCGAGCGAGCGACGACGAAGGACTCTTCAAAAAGTCTATATTTAACCTTGTTTGGTTACATTTTGAGTGGATCAAAATTAACACCTGTTTAAACAACGAAAACTTCATTGAATGCTTACAATTAATAAGGTGGCTGGCAACAGCTTATAACTTCTTTTTAAGCACTTTTAATTGATAGATCATTACTACCTCACTCTTATCATCTGCTGCTGACTATAAATCTATAATGGCTATGAACCTTTTTCCAAACACTGTTGAAGAGGTTATGATCATTTTGTTAACATTACAATTTACTATAGCAACGATATGAACTGCTAAAAACTTGCTTTAACTTTAATTCTGCGGGTCAGACTACGTACAGATGAAAGTGACAAAAAAAAAGTTTCCGTCCGCCGCCAAATTTAGGCATAAAGAATGTTTCACACTACGAAAATATGAAATGAGATTCTTTCAATATGATTTCAGTTTCAAATGGTTTTCAAATTATTTTTATTGCTGCCCATTTTAGGGAGAAAATTAAATATTCCGGTTATAACACAGTTTTTCTGCTCGCACGTGAGTCTTGTTTGTTTGTTTGTTTGTTTGTGTTTGGACACATTTTTATTTAATGAAGCAAACTTTACGGTTAACTTACGTCAGTTGGGAGCTTGCTGTAAGATAAACACAGCTTTTATTGTAGTTCATGTTATTACAGGAAGACCAGGCTAATACAGTTGAACAATCATTATACTTAATGAGAGCAGAGATATTTTGCATGGTACCAAAAACAGGTTTGGAATAACAGTTTTAAATTTCTCCCGGCGATTTTAATTTTTATTTCAGATTAAAATTTTAAACATTTTGCTCACTCAATAGCATTTTAATGGTGTGATTTTACTTCAAATTGATGTACGTTGCATTGTGATTACATTAAAGGGTACGTTGTGCATTTGCTTAACGTCCACTAACTTTCCCAGTGACGAGCAATTATANACGTCAGTTGGGAGCTTGCTGTAAGATAAACACAGCTTTTATTGTAGTTCATGTTATTACAGGAAGACCAGGCTAATACAGTTGAACAATCATTATACTTAATGAGAGCAGAGATATTTTACATGGTACCAAAAACAGGTTTGGAATAACAGTTTTAAATTTCTCCTGGCGATTTTAATTTTTATTTCAGATTAAAATTTTATAAATTTTACGCACTCAATAGCGTTTTAATGGTGTGATTTTATTTCAAATTGATGTACGTTGCATTGCGATTACATTAAAGGGTACATAGTGCATTTGCTTAACGTCCACTAACTTTCCCAGTGACGAGCAATTATAGTTTTAATGAATGTTGATTATTTATCTTTGTCGTTGTAAAAACGTCAATTTAAAAAGTTCTTTACACCATTTAATCGCGTTAGTAGTTACTAATTAAGAAGTGAGTGTGCTTATTTAAGCAAACATGTTAGCATGTTCATCGCCCACGCTATTGAATCTGCCTCTCTCATCTGAAGGGTTATTTACGAAATTTTGCAACGTGATTTTGTTGCAAATTTGCTGTTGTTAAATGTCAAGCCCTCTGTTAAAACCTTCATCACAGTTTTATTGTACGGCAGGCCTAGGGTATATAGTCTTTTCCGAATTTATACAAATTTGGTAATTAAATTGCTAAGAGACATTTTGTTTTCACTGGAATTTAATTTAGCGGCATCAATATTCAGTAATATTAATTACATTATTTTTCAGCTATTTTAATTTTTTTTTTTTAAAAAAAGCAATAAAAGTGGGAGGCTAAACGGATATAAATTGACCTTTTTTTGACCGTTGAATGACTTGAGTTTTTGCGCGGTGCAATTCAGGTCTCTGGCAATTTTTATAGCACCCTTGAAGATGTCTGCGGTTTTGGTGAGTAGAGGCTTTCATTCTTTGTTTTATATTAGGTGAGGGTGCCCTCTCCGTTAGAAGTATGGGACTTTAAGGTTGGGGTGTTGGGATCTCTGGGTTTAAGCCTGAACAAGTCCTCGCATTGTATTCTTCGCCAACACACCCTAGTCTGAGTTTCTACTTAGGTTAATAAATGGGTTCTAACAACGTAACAAAATGGCAGGTTGGGTTGCAGTCTGCCACGCACTATTATCCCCTTTATAGGTCCGGCAGCGGCAGGGCCGATTATCCAAACGGTAAATTATCTCAGCGTTGGAAAGGCTTTAATTCCCTCCCATTTTCGCACGAGAATTGTCACCTAGATTTTTCTTGATATGAGAAATTTAATGCCTGTTGTTTTCGGATGGATAAAAATGTCATTTAGGGTGCCGAAAAAAAGGGTCATCTATGATTTTCGGAAAACCGGAGTTGAGGCGTTGCCTTCATAAGTTTCTCCGATGGTTCTCTCAGATTGAAACGAATTTTACCTTTAGTTACTTATCGACGTCCGAAATTTGTAACTAGCTTTACCACACTGATTGGCAGGCGTAAGCTGTTTCTCACGTCTCGGACAATACTTCGGGAAAAATTAAGTTTACTGCGATACCAGACATTACATAAAAAGACAGATATAGTAACCTATTCAACGTTTGAGGTTGTCTTTTAACCAGCGATTGAACTTTGTCGTAAACTATTCATGGCTCCGGTGGGTCAAACGCCGTACTTCACATGAGCCGAACCCAACTCAACCAATTTGGCTCATGTGAAGTTCGGCGTTTGACCCAATTAAGTTCGACTGATTTTATTTGGAGCGGCTGAGGCGTTCTTCACGCCTGGCCAGCCGTGAATAACGCCTGAAGACCGACTATGGGTCAAACGTTGACATTAGTCGAACCAAACGCATAATCAAAGGTCTGAAGGCGCCATTTTGACTTTAGCTTGAAAAACCACTGAACAACAAGACCGCTTTTGTTATTTGTTTGGTGTAGCAGTTCGGTTCGACTGAATTAAGTTCGACGTTCGACTCAAACAGGCGTTCTTTTAATTATTTGGGTGCCAAACTGTCATTAGGTTCGGCTTATGTGAAGTAAAGCGTTTGAACCGGCCTTAAAGGTTAATTATTCTTTCAGTTCAGTAAGCAATTTAATCGGGCATTCATAATTGTAACTAAACGTTCAGCTAAGGCTTTTTGTCTACTGTGGATTGTAACAAGGAGAAAATGGTCTTCAAACTAACCAATAAAACAGAAATTTAACTGTTTCGTTCTAAACTGGAATATAGTCAGAACGGTTTTCAACTGAGTGCCGTAAAATCAAAATCAAAACAGGCCAACCGTAAAGGACAGTGATAATATTTATCCACTTAACTCAAATACATATAATCGACACGGAATGAGGGAAATACGTGTGCGATCTAGTCACGATTGGTTTTAGTCTCATTTTTTTTATTTTCTTTCATCAACTATTTGTCTTTCCCTTTCTACGGATGCCTTGTTCAATGTTTTTAAATTATTTTTTATTGCTTTTCTTTTCAGGTCTTATGGCTTATGTGTGGCTTCCTCGCTAATCTTCCAACAGCTTTCAGCCGTAAGACTTTGATTTGATATTTTAATAAATGCTTAAAACTGCTATAAAGATAATATGAACAAGCTATAAGTAGACATCTTAGGCTATAGGAACCTCTTATGGACCCGATGTAGACATTCAGAACTTTCGTGGTATGTTTTTGCCCCGCGAGAGATGGAGCAAAGATGATGTCACCTGTGGCGGGAAAATCGTAACGCGGGCAACACTTCGACGCGCGTGTCTCCCCAGAGACAAATTTTAATCCACACTGGAAATATTCGATGTCATTTCAAATTCTTCACATGGAATTTCAATCTAGACGGCTAAGATCAGGTTAATTGTAAAGGCAGCAATGTCGTAGGTGCGAATTGTTGATCGTGGAGTCGTCTGCCCTGAGAGATCTCTGATAAAAGTAAGTTGATAAATCGGCAAATCGCTTCGCTCATATTTCATGATGGAATAGAGGTTGGTTTCTAAATAGCTGCTTCGTCAAACCAGTTTTATGTTTAATACCGCGGTTGTCTCGCAGAAGACAGGAGAAAATGTCAGGAAATATAAGCAGCGCGTTAAAAGCAAGGACAGAGGAGGAGACAAATGTACATTTAAATTGAGCTCCGAGACTAGCAATATTTTTGTCGCTCTAAAGTTCAATTTAAATGTAGGACTGTACCATGTACTGGGCGCTGTTTACTGCTAAGGTAATGTTTCTGAAATTTGTGTCGCTAATTTGTTGCAACACAAATTGCACGAGAATGCCTGCCGGATGTAAGGTCCCTTGAAATTAACATGTATCGCAACGTTATCGTTCTGTTTCGTTTCAGCAAACGTTGCACAAAATAGATACAAGTTGTAAAACGCAGACTGCGGACTGCATAATGCAGACTGTAGGCTGGGTAAAATGCAGATTGAGGATAAAATGAGGACTGTAGACCAGGAACTGAAAATGCAGACTGTTGACTTTTTAAGTGCATATCGTGTTGCTTCCAATATCAAATGCTAGTCGTAAACATACTAACCAGGACTGTAGTTAGCGCAGGGGCAAGGGAAGCAGTTGTCCCCCGCCCCAAGAAAAATGTGATTTTTTAACCTTTTAACTTTCTGGAGTGTTAGGTGTAGACCAGGGGTACTCCCAGAAAAACCGGATGGGGTGTGCGGCCCACTTCCCAAAATCCTTACCCTATTTATGACCAAAATCTGCGATTTTTGCTACCCTATTTATGACTTGGCCAAAAATTCGATACCCTATTTATGACCGTCGCGGTTGGCTCAGTTGCCCTAAACATAAGTTATGAAGGGCTTTTGTTGACCGTCTTATTGATGATGATGAAAACGTAGCTTCTTCCAAGAAACATATCCAATAGACCTTTCCCGCATTCCAACAAACAATGGCACCGAGTCGAGGTCAGGGTGGACAAAATTACAGCAAATGTATGAAAATGTCCACCCCAACCTCGCTCTGGTGCCATTGTTCGTACGCACTGAAGTGGAATGCGGGAAAGCTCTATTCAAGAGTAGAGTGTTAAACCATACCCAATTTAAGACCAAAATGGCTAAATCGATACCCTATTTATCACCAAAACGGCTGAAAAACCCTACCCTTTAGGGCCGCACATTATGATAATTATGAATTCATGTGTCATAATTATGAATTCATGTGTCTGTCCGCGTATTGACAATAAAAATTAGCCAATGAGCGCGGGAGAATTTCTGAAGTTATTGTAAAAACATGTTCGGTGTAGTTATGCAGAGATATGTGTATCAGGTTAACAAAAGTTCGGAAATTTTGTTGTAAGTTCTAAAGCTACCTGTCATTTTATGCCTGATCGAGATTGATTTTTTGACGAAATTTCTCGTGGAGAATGCTGAAAATAGCATTTCCAAGTCTCTAGATTTAACAAATGGTTTAGGCCATAGCGTACACTATTGAGTTATGGATGCACGCGAGAGGTTGCTAAGCACGAAAGAAGCGTAAGAGTCACAACGGGCAAATAGTAGACGCTGAATTAACCAATCACAGCGCGTTATTTGCTTTAGTTACTTTAAGCCCCTGTCAAACGATCGCAACATTTCAACGCGATATATCGCAACATTGTTTTGTGCAGCATGTTGCGTACGTTTGGCCACCCTGTTGCGACGTGTTGCGACGTGTTGGGTATTGAAAATCGAACCAGTGCTCATGCATTCCGGACGCAATTAATATTAACAGGTAATACAATTAAATCCTAGTCCAGTTTGGTAGTAATTGAATTCAAAAAATTTCCCTGTCAAATTGGAGATCGACCTTCAACCTCGTCCAATTTTGGAAGCCTGTAAAAAAAAAAAAAAAATTCATCCAATTAGGTTCTTGATTCCTGATTACATTTATCACAGGACCACGATGGCTTATCTATGGATCTGGGTCTGGCTCTGGTTCTGGAATTGAAGCAGACGTATCAGCAAAGAGGCAGTCATCAGGTGAATAGAAGTGTCTGAAACATAACGGATCTTTGATAATCTTACAAGATCTTTAACTAAAGATCCTTACCTCATTTGAAATCCTTCAATATTTCTCAAGACACATCTAATACTCGTAAGTAGTTTGAAAGAACCTCAGTTTTAATTGCACTTCAAAATTACACTTTAAAATGGACATACAAGTTTGGACTATAAGGATTTTTTAGTAATGCGAAAGACTTTTTTACATGGAACCCCCCCCCCCCCCCCCCCCCCCCGCCGCCGTAGAGCGTAGTTCGAGGAAAACTGTGAGCTTCAAGGAACAGATAATGTCCGTGAACAAATATCCCAGCATATTTTCGCGCCAAATTAAGGCTATTGTGTTTATTATCCTCTAAGTCTTTTTCGCAACACGCGCAGTTTTGAAAATTGGGGAATATTCTCGGATGTTCCCTGGTTTTAGCTGGGAAATATTCGGTCACGGGACGCGTTTAGACCAATCACGCGCCAGCGAAAATATTTGATGGATTATAATCAGGAATATTCCCCAATTTTCAAAACTGTGAGCGTTGCAAATGATATTCAAAGGATAATAAACACAATAGCTTCCATTTGGCGAAAAAATATGTTCGGATGTTTGTCCTTTGACATTATGTGTTCCTCAAAGCTCAGAGATTTTCTCGAGCTACGCTCTCGGAAAACTGTTCGCTTATCGGATCACATAATTTACCAAATAGATTATTTTTTTCTTTCATTAATGTTTAACGTAATTTTAATTGTAATTTCTATTCTCTCTTTTAAGGGGAGTTTTATGAATAGGGTCAACCTCTAAACACTCTTTTCGAATTTGTGTGCATTTTGTGTATTTATGAATGTGAATAAACATGTATGTTGATATGTATATGTCCAAGGACAAATATCTAAGCATATTTACGAGCCAAATGGAGGCTATTATTTACACATGTTTTTCCTTTGATAGGATGTGGGAGTTTTAACTATGCTAATAACACGTTGGTAAGTCCCGGATACCCTTCCTACTATCCAACCAACACAGACTGTGAATATTGGGTCCCCATCCCATCAGGCATGGCGATGAGAATCGATTTCGACGCCTTTGACGTGGAGAGTCACTATAGTTGCAAGTAAGAAACGAGATATTAATCAAAATATTACATCTACGTGAGTTGAGGATAAATTCTCACTGCCTGATAGTTTCTCATGATCAAAATCTCTTGGTTAATAACATTCTTATTCTAAATTGTTTCCATCAGCTTCGCTCTGTAATCAAAGTGTTGTGGACTCACTCGGCTACGCCTCGTGAGTCTACAACAAATTTCGACCACTGTGATGACGCGTATCGTTGTCGATAAGAGTACAGATCACGCTAAACCACATTCGATTTGTTTTTTACCGCAATATCAAAGTCAAAGAAAATGTTTTTTTAGAGTGTGAGCTGAAAAGGGCATTGCGTGTCACATTGACGCGAGCAGCGTTGTCTAGACTCTTATCGACAACGGCAAATTAGCCAATCAGATTGCGAGATTAGTAGCAATTGCAGTAAAAGTAAAAATTATCCTTACTAAGCATGTTATATCTCTTATAGCACAAGCTGGGACAATTTAAGCTGATCCGTCAAGACATATTTTTAATTCTTACGACCTATTTTATTCTTAGCTGGGACTATTTGAAGATCTCCAACGAACAAAACCAGACATTTGGCAAATATTGTGGCGTTAAAGATGGATTTCACGTCATTGTAACGGGAGACTATGTCGTGCTGAAATTTCACTCCGACTGTTGTGTTACACGGCCTGGATACTTGTTATCTTTTAATGCTTTCTGTAAGTACGCTCATAGTAAGGATCCTCAGATCCGGGCCTCAGGTTATGTTTACACTTGCTGCCCAAACACGGTGTCAGAGTATTGAGCACTAATGTGAACACACCCTTTTCCCGAGAACTCATACCAGAATTCGGGCCCGTACTCGGGCAGTTTATGGTGCTTGGGTCAGTCTTTGGAGTTCCCAGTGTCTGAACGCAACACTATTCTTTGCCAATGCTCGGACACCGAGTGTAACCACAGCCTTAGATAGCGAGTGCGAGTACGAGTTAAACAATCCAGTTGTTGTTACCAAAATCCTCACTTCTCTTGGTTTTGAGCAGTTAATTAGGAGACCACCGATACAAGATTGGGGTGAGAATAAATACTCAACCAAAATGTACTAAGTTTGAAAAGTTTTACTTGTAGTCAATCTTATATTCGTTCTAAAGGTCCCGACAGACTATGTTCAAATAAATCCCTATAGAAAAAATTCCTTGCGTTATGACGGTGATAAAAGTCACACTTTTTTTCACTCGTTTGTGCACCAGCGTTTGTGTTTGCAATCGCAAAATGTGTATAAAGCTTAGATCTTCCCTTTTCACTGGTTGAAACGTATTCCTGCGAGCAGTAAATTTACTGCGGTTCTTGAGTTAGCTTGTTCCAGGTCAGTTGGTAAGCAGGCGGAAAAGCGGCGAGAGGAAAAGTAGGGGTGAAGTGTGGTGTGGAAACTTGGTGTGCGGGTTTCATTCTCTAGTTATATTTTATTTTGTCGTTTTCAAGCTTCCCTAATTAACAGAACACTTAGAACGGGATATTTTGGAATGAATGTGATTTACCAGATGTATTGATTTGGTTTTGACTCTACCAAGATATGCTCATTAATGCCTGAATTAAAGACACGCCAAGTAATAACTCTAATCTGCAGCTAAATACACTGACACGTTAATAAAGTTTTCATTCATTCATTCATTCAATTATTCTCCAGAGAAGACCACGTGATCTCAAATGATCAATTAACAGACAAATCTGACTTAACTTACATGTAACTAGGCCAATTTAAAGCAAAGGCCCGCAAGAAAGAATCATATGGTTATATAATTACTTAATTACAAAATGTAAGTGCCTTTTTTTTTGTAAGTGCTTAATGTAACTGCTCATGTATATTTAACAATTTGCATTTGTTTTGCATCTGTAGCGAATGCTACCCAGCCTCCACCCACTACATTTCCGACGGCTCCGACTACAGCTGGTATGGCATACAATTTCTTTTAATCATATGATCAGTACGAAGTTTGACACTTTATTTTGACTAGGGTAACGCAACAATTAAAGCTTCATTTTCTTCTTGGAAGTTGCCTGCAGCGAAATAGCGACCTTTCAATGGGAACTGGAAATAATCCTGTTCACTGCATGCTGTACAAATCAGAATAAAGCGCTGGCATGTTGGAGGTGATCAGCCTTTTGGACATGCCTCTATAAACTCTATTAGTTATTAAAGCGAGCTTTAGGTCTGTCCACACTACGCCGGAGGAATTTGAAAACGGAGGTTTCATTCTAAGAACGCTTCGAATGTTTTCCGTCCACACTTTCGCTGGAGGAAATTAAAAACGCAACAAATTGCATTTGTGTTTGAGTAAATCTTGGGCAGGAAAGTCTCATGATTATCGTGACGTCATCTTTTTCGAAAAGCTCCGTTTTCAAAACGTTTTCGTCCACACGAAAATGCGAAGCCGGCGTTTTCAAATTCTTCCGGTTTGACTCAGCGTTTCCGTACGCCTATGTTTTTCACTTAGTTCTCTTTGATTTATGTGCACAACGCGACCTGTCCAGCATGATTTACAACAGCGCCACAAAATGGTACTGACTGTTATTTCTTTTTTACTCTTAACTGGACTCTGAAATTGAAATCCAAAGAAAAATGACATCAGAAAACTCCGTTAATGAACATTTTAATATTAACTACATGTATGGACTAATTTATTAGTAATTATTTTAGTTTTACACTCTGGTTTTAGATTGGCTTAATAAGGGCCATTGTGTAAACTACTGAGTCATCAGTAATCGATGTTACACTCGTAAAATAAAGTGTTATTATTATTATTATTATTATTGTCATTATTAGTATGAGTATCGTCGTCATCATCATCGTTATCATTGTTATTATTATTATTATTATTATTATTATTATTATTATTAGTAGTAGTAGTAGTAGTAGTAGTAGCATTATTATTATTGTTATATGTAACAGGTCTCCTTTTAAATATCATTTTAATTTTTTTGAAGGTCCTTGTGGATCTGTGCAAAACAACACTCTTCTTAGTCCCGGATATCCAAGCTATTATCCAAATAACATGGACTGTAATTATTGGGTCTACATTCCATACGGCAAGGCGTTGCAAATTTACTTTGACCATTTCCAAGTGAACGATTGCGGGTAAGAAATCGTAAATGCTTAGCAAAGGAATTTCTGTAAGGGACGGACCATTATTATTTTTTGAGGGGGGGTGGGGATAGACAATTTCAAAAAAAATTCCTGCTCAGCAAAAAAAACGCTGAAAATTCAAAAGTGAATGATTGCGGGTAAGAAATCGTAAATGCTTACCAAATGAATTTAAGTGAGGGACGGACCATTATTATTTTTTATTATTTTTAATACTGTAAAAAGTTCTTACACGAGGCCATTGTCCACCAAAAAAATCATGCACAACCTAAAGGTGAGAAAAAATAATAGTCGGTCCTCAAGCTGGTGCCATGTGCGACTGAAAAATGTGATTATAAAGGGATTCAAGCGTTTTTAGTTTCCAATGAATATCAACATTCGAGATTTTCTCTTATGATTTCCATACATGACCAAATTTTCATGATATATCTAAAATGTCCATATTGTAATTTTTGTGTGTATTTTCTCATTTGAAAGTCTACATCAAAAAGGAAGTTGTCCGAAAATTGTGAACTAAAGGTGAATTCTACTTTTATTTGGTACACCCCACCCGCTGGTTAGGAAAGTAAGGACTCACTGTATGGCATAGATTCAGGAGCCCGTTGCCATGGCTCCTGCGTTTATTTAAGAGAAGAAATGAAAACGTCATGTCTTCCTTGGTGGAAAGTACAACGGAAACAGAAAGCAGAGTGCGTGTTCCTACGCCACATCCCCTCTTCGACCAAAAGAATCGAGAGAGAAGACTAGTGCGAGTGTTGTGCCAAAAAGGTGGCCAGTTTACGCGTATTCAAAAATTACCTAGTAAATATTCTCGTCTAGTTCATAACTTTAGACTCGTGTGAAAATTCAAAGAATTTACGTTCTCTGTGACAAAACTGGCAACTAAACAAAGCCACAGCAGCAGATTACGAAGAGCCAAGACACCTTTGATATTATTTTAACTACCACCAGCTCTTAAGAATCTAACCTACACATTCTTTCAGACTCGCGTAAGAATTAAAGAATTTACTTTCTCTGTGACAAAACTGGCAACTAACACAAAGCTACAGCAGCAGATTACGAAGAGCCAAGAAACTTTTGTAATTATTTCAACTACCACCAGCTCTTAAGAATCTAACCTACACCTTTTTTTTTTACCAACACAGCTATGACTATTTGAAGATCAGCAACGAGCAAAACCAGACTTTTGGGTCTTTCTGTGGACACAAAACTGGTCAGTCTGTCATAGTAACTGGAATGTATGCTGTTTTAACCTTCCATTCAGATGGCAGTGTTAATGACAAAGGGTACAAGCTGATTTTCTCATATGTTTCACAAGGTAAAGTAAATGATACTTATGAGTTGTTTGACAAATAGAAGATAAGAACTACAGTCGCACCCAATTCTCCACAAGATGAATTATGGACATAAAAGAGCATATAATTAAAGGAGCTAGCAGGCACTGTGGCTTCATGATAAGTACGCTCCACTCCGGATCGAGCGATCCCGGGGCCCGTTTCTCGAAGGTTTCGAAAACTTTTCGCACCCGAATAGCCATAGCAACATCTCAAACCTAATGATTACAGAGCTGTGTTATTCAATTTTCTTAATATGAACAGACGTTCCTCTTCATACAAGAAGTTTCAGGCGTATGCACCTCTCGGTTTTTACTACAGATGAACTAAAAATGGCTTTTCGGGCCCAAAAAGCTTCCGGGGCTTTCGAGAAACGGGCTCCAGGTTCGGGTCCCGGCCTGAGACATTGTGTTGTAAATGATAAATATTTGTTTGTCAAGTGATGGACAAGTTCATTCGGCCATCTTTAGGGAAAATAAATAGGTTTTTAATCGGAGCTTTTTAAAATATAGCCGCATGCTTTTTGGTTTGTATTTTGAAACCCGCTAAGAAGTTTGGAAATGTAAATTTCCCTTAATTTTTTAAACTGATTTTAAACTGAACGTTCGGATGCTTCTGAGACCTAAAAGGTACGGCAATGGAGCCGCTGTTGGTGTTGTTGAATGTTTATAGTGATCGATGCGCTTAGCTGCAAATAGCTAGTTCTCAGGCAAGCCACTTAAACTGAAAGAAAAAAAATGTTGCAAACAAGGTTTAAAAATCCTAACTGGCGGGAGGCAGATTAGTTGGCTATTTACAAGCATGACCGAGGAGTTGAACTATGGTCTACAGAGAAACAACAGGACTTGAACCCGCGACCTTCCGAGTTCAAGTCTGCTCCCCCCCCCCCCCTCTGAGGAACTCCCATATATAAAAAGGACGGGGGTGCTCGTCGTACCTTAAAGGGGTGAAAAAAGCCGGTTTTGGTACCTTGTAGGGCGAGCAGGCTAAAGAGGTCCACATCGGGAACTTTAGAAGAACCTTTTAGGGTATTGAGCCGAAAAATATGTCAGGAGATGATGTTTTGATTTAAAATTAGTGCTTCTTAGGGGCGAAAAAATATTAAGCCACTCTCACAAAACAGGATTATGGTGCCTCTTAGGGGTTCTTTTCAAAATTTCCGACGAGCAACCCCGTCCTATCTATATGGGAGTCCCCCCCCCGGGGGGCGCCCTAACCACTCGACCACACCGCCTCCCTGCCTCCGTAATACATACACATGAAAGTACTGCTCAACAGCTTCACTTTATAAAGTTTAATGTGATATTTTTCGTCTTGCTATTTCAGCAATTTCGTCCACAGCACCACCATACACGACCCCTCCCTACCGTGAGTATGACAGAATTATTAACTAGCATTTATCCAAAGACTCTTTAAATTTCTATCGGGAGATTACGCACATTTGTGAGGGAAATTTTGAAAAAAAATTCACCAAAATCACAATAAAAATTAAAAAAAATATAACAAAAGCCATATAAACACTGAAATCTTGATTGTTTGGGCAGTTTTAATTCAAGACTAAAATTCATTACTTTACACAGATGACTGTAAACCACTATTTCATCATTTCTCATTACGTTTTGGTAGGTTTGAGTAAACTAGGAGTAAAAGCGAACTCGAAAAGCGCGCGCTGACTAAACTATTCAACATTTCACCAGATTGGCATAGCCCTGATCAGTTCTTGACAGCTTGTCATCAGATCAAATTTGATAAACTATAATCTAATCCCATCCTTGTAATCCTGTATTTCTCCCCCGATTACTTAATCTCTTTTACTGTGTAGAATCGTTTTACTCAATTTGTTTGTGTTATTTGAGCTTATTTGGTGATATTTGCTAATATAATACAGAGATTAAGAAAGAGAACTTGGGATAATCAGTCGATCACTGCACTGCCTCTCTGAGTTTTCTTTTTTGTAGTCACACCCATTCCAGCCATCACATTACCTGGTCGGGTATTTCACATTGTACTCGGCAGCGGGTAGGGAATTAAGAAGTATACGTTTGGTTTTACGTTTACACGTTCATTTTGCACTGTCATTCCATTATAATTTGAGAGCTTTTAACACGCTCTATTCCAATATTGAAACCTCTCTCATAACTGAATCTTTGTTGATTTTCCTAGAAACCCCGACTTATCCTGTACATAATGCCACGACAACACCAAGCGGTATGATTCATTGTAACACTAGACGTAATGATCTAAATATTTTCACCCTGAATCTGCAAAGAAATGCTGTTTTTATTCTGGAGCCGTTGCTTGCAATAATTTACGTTAGTGAAATTCTACTAGTATACTAATTCAAATGCTGCAATCTGATTGGCCGAGCTGCTCGTATACTATTAGACGTTAGTAGAATTCTACTAGTATACTAATGCAAATGCTGCAATCTGATTGGCCGAGCTGCTCGTATACTATTAGGCGTTAGTAGAATTCTACTAGTATACTAATGCAAATGCTGCAATCTGATTGGCTGAGCTACTCGTATACTATCAGCCATTAGAATGCAGAGGCTGCAGGTCGTCTTTAAAATAGCGACGTTTTTCCGAAGTTAGGGAAGAACATTTAAATACAAATGGATAATTAGATTCCTGAAAAGACTAAAGTGAAGTGCATTCGCGGTTTCGTGACTTAAAAGATACAGAAAATGTTGAAGAAACTGATGAGCGCGCACACAACAGGAAATTCCAAACGACAATTTAGTCTGAGCGATTTTTCTAAAGCGTAAACACGATGTACAAATGCGATGTACGATGTACAAAAAAAATTGGAAATGGTCAGTTGAAGAAAATTTGAGTAAAAATTCTATTAAAAGAATTAAGAGTGGCGTGGCTGTCTGTTGTCAACGATATGGCGACCTTGTTACATTTTCCGAAGTTTTGGAGAAATGTTTAGATGTAAATGGATAACGAAATTGCTGAGAAGGCTAAAAGAAGGACACCGATTAACGGCTTGAAGACATCAGACATCTTTCATATATTCATTTACATTAATGGTTTCTTGACTTTAAAAACTTGAAATTATTGAAAACATGGGTGCTCACATTATCTCCTGTCATATTTGTTTTGGCTCAATACCCTAAAAGATACTAAAAAAGCTCCGGCTATGTACCGTTTGAGGCTGAACATCCTAAGAGTCACCAAAATCGCTTTTTGAACCCCTAAAAGGTACAACGAGCACCCCCGTCCGTTTTTATGGGAGTTTTCTTACTCTAAACTGGGCATCATGTAACAACTTTCCTTTTGAAAATATTTTTAATTTTTCAATTAGGTTGTGGGTACGTGCAGAACAACGAACTTACCAGTCCCGGATATCCAGGCTACTATCCAAATAACATGGACTGTTCTTATACGATCTACATTTCCTACGGCAAGGCGTTGAAAATCGACTTCCAATTTTTCGGGATCAGCGATTGCCCGTAAGTATCCACAATCCATAAACGCTCTAGAGACGGAATTTCAATAAGCTTGTCATGTCCGACTTTAAAAAACGGGGATTCAAGCGTATTTAGAGGCGGGTGTGTGCGTGCGGGGGGGGGGGGGGGGACAGGGGATCAGAAGCTCCCGCTTCCCGCCCTTTCCTCTCCCGCTTCCCACCCCTATTCTTCCAGACGTCCGCCTGTCCTTTCCTATTTAATTTCGAACATGCAAAGATCAACATTCGCAATTTTCTTTCATGATTTCCATACATTTCCATACCAAATTCCCAAAACACCAAGTAAATGTCACATTGCGGGGTTTACGTTAAACCTTAAAGGGGCTCAGTGATGTTATTTTGAGTTATTTTGATCACCATGCAAAAAATACCTTTAAATTGAAAGAAAGCTGAATATGATCTTTTACTAAGATAGAAAAACACCAAATAGATAGTAAAAAACCAGAAAGGAACAAGGATGGTTAAGAATGGAGAAGATTAACACGGATTACAAACGACGAACTTGAAAAATGTAGGTTAAGCTTTTCAAGATGCGTAAACCGTGACGTAGCTCCTTTAATAAAAGAAGACTCGTTGCATGGGAATGAAAGAATTGTTCTCGTTCAAAATGTGTCTAAGATAGGTAAGATAGCCGGCCGAGAAGTAATCTGGCGCTCACAGATAAAAGAAAGATCATTCTTGAACTAAAACTCTTGAATCCCGAGTTACACTTAGCGACAAAATTGGAGACTCACACAAAGCTAAAGCCGCAACTTACGGCCGGACGACTCCCATAAGACAAGGTCGTGGATGATTGTCGTCTCGCGCAGGGGTGTGAATCAAGGATTCCTGTCGCGGTTAGGGTGTTGATGACGAAACGCCACTATTTTTAGCTGTCAAAGTATCTTTTAGGGTGCACTCGAAAAAATTATTCTTAAAAAAACTCTCTTAGTTCCGTTTTTAGGCTCGATTTCCGCCGGTCTCTTGAGCCCGGTCTACTAGCCCGGGCTCCTTTCCTGAACAGCGGCTGGTAATCAAGCCTCTTCCCTTTTTAAGTGGTATCTTTTAGGGGTAAGACAAAGCTTGAACCACACCCAGATTGGACGGTCTCCTTTCTGGCTTCATTTCAAATTTTCCGATGAGCATCCCCGATCTTTTGATTTTAGAATCCCCCCCCCCGGAACTTAAGTAGGACAAGAAACTCTCGTCATATTGAAACTGCCACCAGCTCTTTAGAATCTAAACTATACATTTTCACCATGGCAGGTTTGACTATGTGAAGATAAAAAATAATCAAAACCAGGTTGGCACTTTCTGTGGAAATAGAACTGGCGAGGTTGTTTATGTAACTGGGTACTATGCTGAGGTGACCTTCCATTCAGACGGCATTATCAATGGCCAAGGGTACAAGTTGGTTTTCTCACAGGTTCCACAAGGTAATGTGTTATGTGTTGTTTGACAAATGAAAGATAAGAACTAGTATTGTGAAACACACATTTCAATTTTTAAATGGGCATGAAAGAATTTTGATTTGCGTCGTCTTGTTTTCGAATTTCAGCAAATGTCAGTACATCGGCTCCATGGCCACCATACACGACATATCCGACTTACGGTGAGTATACCAGAATTGACAATAGGGAGCTTTTAAAAAAGCCCTGACCAAACGGACTGAAACACAAGCTACGAACTTGGGTCTACTTGCGACTCCGTTTGGCCAGACCTTGCGTGGACTTGCGTCGGCTTGCGATGAAGTGCGTTCACTTTGGTCGAGATCAAATTTGCACGCAAGTCGACGCAAGTCGAGTGACGTCCATTAACCTTTTATTAGCCAATGGAATACAGGATAGGTAAGCTTTGGAATGGGTTTCTTGCGACGCGTTCCAGCGAGGAAACTGGGGAGTCAGTTTGGCCACCCAACGCAAGTCTCTACGCAAGTTCAACTTGCGGCTACTCGCGACTACTGGCGAGTCCGTTTGGTCAGGGCTTTGCTTAAGCTCCCTAGTACTAGAGACAATACAGTCAAACTCTCTTTGAGGCTGGTTGAAAATGTAGGGGTTTTTTATGAGCGTCCGAGGCACGGGAGGTGTCTCGCGTTTCGGAAATGTGTTTAAGCAGAGGTTTAATTGCATTGGAATACACTATATTCGTATTCTCGGTACTGGACTGGAATAGCTTGCAATGGAGGCTCATGCGGGGAAATGTCATTTAGAAGGGATGAATGCCATTTGCATTTGAAAATACTCCCTGCATTTGACTCGGTTGCAAGCTAGTTCCAGTCCAGTATCGAGAATACGAATATGGTCGGCACGTGACCTTGTTTATGTTATCTGAAAGGTTAATATAGCACGCAGAGACAGAAAGAACGTAAGTAAGTAAGAACTTTATTCAAGTGTCAATGTATTTAGCCCATGTGGGCTAATTGGGGACACTGTATTAACTCTACCTAAAAATTTTCATTAACAGTATTTTAAGATTCTCTTAAAAAAATAAAATTGAAATATTGGCAAACAATGAAAGGAAATAGAAGAGTATATGTTGTCCTAAGAAACGCACTTGTTGTCCTAAGAAACGTGATTCAGGGTTATCAAATTTTCACATCACTGATTGATACAACTATTTAGAGCACTTTCACACAATTAAAAATTGAATAGCAGGGTTTTCTTGCCAATCGCAATAAGCGACCTGAAATCGTGGGTCTCATCATAAAGATAATTGATTTAAAATAATAGAACTTAATGGAGTAATTCAAAATGTGTCGGTAACCAACTTTCTTGCTATCTTTTCCACAGCTACGCCGAGCAAACCGTATCCCTCCTACTATCCTAGTATGGGTCTGAAGTGGTAATTCCTTTATCCGTAACTGAATTATTTAACAGTTTCTAACTTGGAAAACAATACTCTCTAAGTTGTAGACATGGATGGGACATTCATTTGATCTCTCCATTGCTCTTCACTCCTTCGCTTCTTGTTAGACTTCTTATGAACCCGCTGACCAATGTATAATGCTTTCGCAGTGATAGCAAAGTTCAAGTTAAATTTAAAATCACAAAATTGATGAGCGGCACCAATTTTCGAAAAAGCCCTGATTAGACGGCAAACGGACAGGAGAATTGAGGAGAATATTAAACGATGTGTTTCGCTTTACGGTACTGTAAATAAATACGGACATGGCGAAATGATATGAACAAATAGTTGATGAAAGGACGAAAAGACATTATCACTGATATCACTGTCACTGGTATCCTTTGTCATATCATAGCGTTGTACTTGATGGCAATGGACTTTATGTTTTGTGTTTTCTTTCAATTTCAGTAAACTTCAAACCTACATCCGTATCTTGCAGATTGTACTTAACGAGGTAAAAGACCATCCCTCACCTTGATATCACGTCGCGCAATATCACCAACGTGACATTGAAAAAAATCACGCCGAGATGATTTAGTCTTATACCTAATCATACCTTTTTCGTTCGCTTCGGCACGGCACATCATTCTCGTTTGGTCTCGCCATATGGTTCGTATTTTGGTAGTCGATCTAAAACACCCATGGCGAGATCAAACGAGCCTAATATGCAACCGAAGCGTACCAAAAAGGTACGATTAGCTATTACCGTAACCAAATTCGGCCAAGTGATATGCATGATATCGTAGCCATATCAGGTCAGTGAAATGACATCGCAGGATATCAGAATAGTATACATGGTTTCTGATTGGCTGATTGCTGGCTAATTGGTTGGCTAATTAGCTAATTGGTATAGTCAAAACCGAACACGAAACTGAATCGTTAAACACGTTTGAAGGATTCAGATATTTAGAATCTGAAAGAAATCATTTTGACAGAAACTATACTGCATGGAACCCAGGCCGGATTTTTTTTTAAGTTACTTAGACTAGGTAGCGTCATAAGTCACGTCAAAGAACTAACGTGTGACACTTGGCCATTCTGTACTGTTTTTAGAGAATTTACGAGAGAGGCCTTTACCAAACGTGTTTATGAATACTAATTAACCCATACTTGGTGACACAAAAAGGTTTAGCGGTCTCCGTCATATAAAAAAATGCGTTGTCGAAGAAGAATTTCCCCTGAGATGTGTGGTCAATCAGAACGCGCCAGAAGGACCACTAACTGTTGTGTTTTATCTGGTAACAAAAGATAATGATCGTTTCTCGTTTCAATTCCGTAGATGGACAACGTTGTGGAAAACGAATTGGGCAGCAAGTTCTCAGCCAGGGAATACAAAGGTGCCGTAGACCTGTAAATTCCGTTTCTTTCGAATATAGGCGAATCTTTGCTGACGTCTTTGCTTACGTTTTTCCTCATTAACATACGACTTGGCATCATGCTAGACACGAATTGAGTTGTGAATATTAGTAGTTCGTGAAAATTTTGGCTTTTTAAGTGTAACATTCGAAGAGAAACTGGCTTTCAGCATGCAGCTTTAAAATGGCCTACTACCGAAATACACGAAGGACAACTTTGGTTCCCTTCCAAGTATTCTCTCAAATTTAGACGCCAAACGTCAATCTTTTTGTTCTAAAATTAACAGTTCGTGTCAAGAGGGCCCTCTCTAATGTACAAATGGCCAGGAATAGGGTAGGTCGACAGAAACGTGACGTCAGAGAAGTACGTATGGCTGATGAACTGGAGAAAAGGGCAACCGAGTTGTTGAAGAGACTGGACACCGAGGAAGGTTAGTTCTGTGGAAGGACGGACTCATAACCATTGCTAACAACCAAGAAACTTCTTTAAAATAATATTATTTTTAGCAGCAACTGAATTTGGTAATTTGTATTTTCTAACGGCTACGTTAGTCCTGATTACGAGTTTCCCTAGGGGCTTCCCCTCACATCCCACCACTCCTCGGTTCTATTTTTCTACTTAAGAAAACAAACGTATATTAGAACGGTTACTACTGTTCATCCAGGTAATTAAAGGAGCTCAGTCATGGTATGTTGAGTTATTTTGGCCACATACAAAATTACCTTTAAATGGTAGGAAACCTGAAAATAACAGTTTAATAAGATAGAAAAACACCGAAGACATAATAATAAACCATAAAGGAACAAGGATGGCTAAGGATGGAGAAGATTGACACGGATTACAAACGACGAATTTGAAAAATTGAGGCTAAACTTTTCAGCATGCGCAAACCGTGACTGAGCTCCTTTAAAATTAAAATGTACGTCCAACTGCGTCCCCATGTATTGGAACATTGTTCAGAGCATTGTACTTCAAATGAGCACAGTCATAGAAAAAGTTTGCAAGCAGAGTACAGATTAAATGTGAAATAAGTCTAGCTTCTTTAACAAAACACACGTCATTAGATTCTTTAATCAATTCGTTTCAGCTTGGTTTCAGTTCATCCTAGAAAGTTTTTTCCACACCAATTCCAAGCCTCCCTCCCCTTAGAGGTTGTTTCTGCCTAGGGTTTATGACCGGAACTAATTTAATTTAGCGATTTCGTGGATTTTTGGACTTGTAGCGACATTTCAATAAAAAATTAAATTGACGATTTTAATTTATTTTTAGTACTAAATTAGCGATTTTTCAGCATGCATGAAATTGCTCAATTGGCTTACTTGAGAAGTCGCTAACCTTAAGCTAATTGAGCTTAATGCCGGCTTTCCTCAGCTGTATTCATTCTACGATTGATTCAATGAATCTTATTTCTAGCTCAATCCAAGATGCGTGCTTTGCTGAACAGGAATATGGTCGAAGCAAGGCCCAAAAGGGCACCGATGGAAGCTTACTAGTGGCAGGTAAAGTAGTAAACAATAACTAAAACAAACAACAACAACAACAACAACGACAACAACAAATTGAACCATTAGCCTTACTGATGTATAATGCAGTAGTTGAATTTCAACTTAGTCCCTATCCACGCTACGCCAGAGAAATTTGAAAACGGAGGTTTTACTCCGAAAATTAACACATCAAATGTTTTCCGTCCACACTACACCGGAGAAATTTGAAAACGCAACAATCACAGACCACTTGGATTTGTGTTTGAGGAAAACTCGGGCAGGGAAATCATGATTATCTTGACGTCACCGTTTTCAAAAAGCTCCGGTTTGAAAATGTTACCCGTAATATATCAAATACGAGAGACAGTGTTTCAACGGGACATCCAAACGCCGAGAAGAGAGTTGAAATTACGACGCGTAGCGGAGTATTTTTGACGAAATTCGAGGTGTCTGCATAGCTTATGAAACACTGTCTCGACTGTTTGATACACCTTCTCAATCAAAACAAAAACTAAGGACAGGGTTCGTAGGGGCCTGGAAAACCTGGAAAGTCCTAGAATTTTATTTTGGCATTTTCCAGGACTGGAAAGTCCTGGAAAAAGGCTACTAGTCCTGGAACGTTCTGGAAATCATTTAAAATCAAGTAAGAAATATGAAATGTATGGCAGACAGTAAAGAACATTAACATTGAGATCTTGGGAGTGAAAGGATTATGTGACTTTTAGAGTCCTGGAAAAATCAATCTGAGTCCTGGAAAAGTCCTGGAAATTTTTTTTTTCTGAAAATGGGTACGAACCAAGTAAGGGGTAATCAGACAAGTAAAATCGTCAAAATCTATGCTAACTAACACCGGATATCCAAACCTTCTTCCCGGTTGTGATTTACTTTGTTTAACTTGATGAATCATTAATGAATTAGAGAAGTCCATACTAAAACGCAAAGCCGGCGTTTTCAAATTCCTCCGGTTTGAAGAGCGTTTTCGAAAAGCTCCGTTATTGTTAGGGGTTAGTGTGGACGGTAGGCCTAACCGTAGAAATAAAGATGCGTTTTCAAATTTATCTGCATAGTGTGCACGGGTTCTTTGTTTAATTACTACAAACACACGCAAGAAAGAACAAGACAGGAGATGTGTGTGCACCGACTACCAGGGGGTGGTACTCTACAAAGTTTTATATGGGGAGGCTTCGTCCCGAAGTCCAATCCCTCACCCTTTTGTATACCATTTTGACAGAAAAGGTAGCCCTTTCGTGTACCTTTTATTGAAAAAAGGTACCCCCTTTCACATGCCTTCATAACTGTCTCTTATTATGAATAAATCACCAAAGGAGAAGTCTTCTTGTCATTTTAATGTAGTGCGAGGTAATAAATGAAATGATAGAGCCATAATTTGCGATTGTTGGAAATATTTTAATTAAAGGCCTTTAAATAACTAAATGACACATTTCCGTACCTTTTCATATACCTCAATTTGTGAAATCCCTCCCTTTTATATACCTGAGCCTGAAAAAGGTACCCCTTTCTGGCGGAGCCTCCCCATATAGGGCATTATAAGGAGCCCCCCCGGGGGTGACTACATTGTACCAACCTTGTAGTATAAAAACCATCCGCCAACACCAACACCAAAAAACAACTGTCCAAAAATGAGACCTTTTTTTTTCTTTGGTCCGTAGATCAGATCCAGAAACGGCTTGTCATGGACTGGACCACAAAAAAAGCCTAAAAGAACCAAGGAAAAAGTAGATCTTATCGACAAAACGAGGCAGAAATAAAAAAAAGGAATTCTTGTTCCGAAAAAAAAAGAAACTCGTTATAGTTTTAGGATGGGGATTTAGCCATATTTCGTTTACATGCGAAAAACTAAATAAAGGAATGCAAAGTATCACACTGTTCTCTTCTCTTTTTTAATTTTATCTGCTATAATTCTTTGTATACACGAGCTCTATGTTTACAAATTAAACTCCAAGTAAGGCCCTTTTTCAATTATAGAAAAATGCAGTTCAAATAATATAACCACACCCCGCCAAAAGATTGTTAATGTTCATGGTCCACAGACCCTCTATTGTGTCTTGAGTTCGCCGAGATCGCAAGGTTGGCGAAATAATCTCGGTGTGTGAAATGCGCGCGCACTAAAACGCAATGGGGTGGGGCTGGGGAGAGATGCGGCGGAACTCGCGCTCCGCGCTCGAAGAAAAATAACTCGCAGCCCAAAAATATACGTCTGTGGAGAGACTATAATGTTCATGATAGTTTCAAGTTTTAAGAGATAAATCATTGCTAACGCAAAAGTAACAAAGGGAAATAGTCTTCGAGGGGTAGGGGTTATGTCTTCCCATGTGCCCCCAAAATTATTTCCTGTTTCCAATTTTTCCCTAAACGTTTATGCATTATGCGCCTGGTTTCTATTTTCCACAAAGTTCCCTTAGGCTTCCTCCCAGCACAATCCAACCATATCCCCATTGAAAATGACCACTCCTCTGGAGACCCGCATAGTTCACATGGAAGCTCCTTTACAAGGTGTTAAGTGAATTACATGTAAACGAAATAAATTCAATTAGGAACAGCGTATGCAAGTATGTCACGGAAAACAGATAACATCGCCTTTGTCTTAGCTAAGTATGTTTTTTCACTTTTTAAGTGCTTAAATTTACCAGTTGATTTTCAATTTCTTTTGCGAATCTCTTTAGTCATTTTTCCTAATTTCGTAATGACGATGTAAGTATAAATCAATGTAAAGTCACGATCAGATAAAGGTTGTTTGTTTACTTTGCTCGTGGTTACTTTAGCTACTGTTCACTGAGTACATTTTGACACTTCTTGCCCGCCCACATTTTACATGGGAAATTGAGTTTGGGTTCTCACCGTAACGAAGATGTCGCTCTTGGCCTTTCTAGTTATTTGCGTTCACTTGATGGCTTTTACGACAATAGCTTCCCAGAGTCATGGCTCAGAGTTGAAAGCGAAGAGATCATCTAACAGTTGCGAAGGCCCTGGCGGTGTAAGCTTACATTCGTACATGAAACAATTGTATCGCACACGAGCGCAAGGTAATGGAAATGGCAGTTTTACCATCTCGTTAGGGGCCCAGAAAATTGTTGCTACTTCAATTCGTGGTTTTGAACCGGAGAGAAGCGGTAAGTACTCTTAAAACCCATAAATATTAAGAAACTTATTGAGAAACTTGTAGATCTTTTTGTTTAATGTAGGGTGAAGTTGTGTCAATGCCGCTCACTGAGCTGAATATAAACGTTTTATACATAATGTGTATTCCATCTTAGCCAGTGTTACTGTTCCCCATATTTTAGTCCGTAATTAAAAAGGTCAAGTTGTTGTAAAGCTTTTAAATCATCTGCGGTTATCAGTTTGCACGCAAAATACTGCGGAGTGCTGCAATTCGGGCGTTAAGACCTGGCCGAGGGAGTTAAAATTGACTTACTCTGACTATTACTTAAGAACAACTTTTAGCTTTTTGATCTACATGAAACTGCTCCCACGCACGCATACAAGCCAGGTCAAAGGAGGTGTACGCGCATTTCAGTGTACGTGTTTTAAAACAGGACCTTTGCGTGTAGACCTATACATGAATAATCTTTTCCTTTTCTAGAAGTAAAAACACGTTTACAATGACAATGTTTACAACAACATTTTCTTACAGGGACCAAATGGCAAGGTTCAACCATCCAAATGCAGTTTCAGTTAGGAAACGCCTTCAAAGATGACTCATTAGTGGAAGCACAACTGATTGTAACATCTAAACAAGGAAGTTTGTGGATGAGCCGCAAATTTATCATCAGTGTTTACCAACCCATTTTGGCGCCAAATGACACGAAACCTTTGGATTCCCGTTCTTTCCCGCGCAGGGCAAATGTTGAGTTTGGACTGAACGTGACACGTGCTGTGAGGGTTTGGAGTATTACAACAGCGAAGACCTACACATTACAGGTATGACTTAGATTACTAGATATTCAATATTTCTGGTTCCTGTCCAAGGAATATGTTTTAACCTTCAAGTGACCCATTCATTTCTCATGACTTGTTAGGGTATTTTCAAGATCGATTTTTTTCTACAAGAAGGTTTTTCATTTATTAGAACTGTAAAGAGAAATTTCATGCTGACTCTCTTGAGACTCACTTTCCTCGCCCTCTATTACAGTATCCCATGCACTGATACCAATGACTGACCCAACCCTGTATCCTTCACCCCATTCCTCCCTCTATCCCCAGGGCCCTACTTTCAGCTCTTACTCTCCCTCTTGCTTCCTCCTTCCCTCTCTCCCTTTTTACCCTTGCTTGCTTGCTTTCCTCCTCCTCGCCTTCCTTCCTTCCTTCCTTCCTCCTTTCCTTCTATACTTGCCTATCTCTGTCTTCCCCCTCTCTTTCCCTTCTTCCTTCCTTCCTTTCACACTCCCCCTTCCCAATCACCCTCTATTAATATATTTCTTCATTCTTGTAGTTAAAGATAGAAGATTTGGCTCGACGCAATAGCACCAAAGCTTCTGTGTTACAGGTGTGGAGGTCCATCAAGCATGGCCATCAACATGGACCTTTCCTGGTATTGTACACTCATTCCAAGCACGTAAATGCCAAGGATGACATCTGGAAGTTGGTGACACTCAACCCTCACGCTATAACTCCCACACCAGACAACACCACTGTCGGGAAGGAAAATAAAGATATCACTCAGAGTGATGGCCAAACTCTGAGGCACCCTTCCTTGACTTGCACTCAGGTGTCATTTGCCGTCAAAATGAAAGACTTTTACAGTAACATTATCATGCCGCAGATTGGCTATGTTAACTACTGTGATGGCTACTGCTATTTTCCAATCCAGAATCACTTGACACCCACCACACATGCTATTATTTGGGCATTGTGGTGGAAAAGACATAGTTCTGATATCTACACACCCAGGAGACCGTTATGCATTCCATCTAAGCTAGGCACCATAACTGTCATCCTCTCTGATCCTGAAACAGGCCAGCCAGTACAGAAAGAGTGGCAGGAATTTTCAGCCGAAGAGTGCGGCTGTCGTTAGTGTTTTAATCCACAGTCGAGTTTAGTCATTGTGTTATCCAGTTCAGAATTCACTTGAGGATGAGGTTCAAAGGTGGGGAAAAGGAAGTGTTGTCAGAGGTGGGGAAAGGGGGAGAGGGGGGGGGTTTAGGTGAGGGGTGTGGTGAGGTAATCCCAGAGGTGGGTAAAGGGAGAGTGTTGTGGGGGAGGGAGAAATGTTCCCTGAGTAAAGTGACCCATTTACCCCTGTTTATAAATGTTTTTCCCAGGGAATTTTATGTTTAGTTTTTCCACAGTTCTTGCTTCATTTGAAAAAAAAAATTGATGTTGTGGCTTACAGCCCTAGAGAAAGTCTCGGTATTATTCAGTGTAGTAGTAATATTGAGTTGATTTGTTTTGAGAGACTCCTTAACTAGCATGATGTACTGTTCTTTGGCATATGCTAACACATATCGCAGTTTCATTTGATTAACTGTATCATGTTTTATTGCAAGGATCATTGATGATTATTAATATGAAATGTGTTTATTTAAAGTGTTTACAACTACAGTTCAATACCGATGCAGTCGGAATCTGAAAAATCACACATTTAAGGGCTGTTTCTTTGTTTGCTATGAGAGAGTGCTTGTCTGAATAGTTGTCAGAATGCCAGAAAGTAAAGAACTCTAGAAATAGCCATAAACCAATCAGAACGTGTGATCCGCGATCCGTAATACTTTAAAAGCGCGGGAAATGTCACATGATTCAAATTAGTTTAGGTTTTTGCAAACCGGCATCTTTGGTGTGATTTGTTAGAACTGGTTTCACGCATGTATGACATCGGTTATAGAACACTAAAGCACAAATGAACAGTAAACAAACACTCTATAGTCATTGTATAAGAGAGATAAGCAAACCAAGTTGGATTCCGTTGAATTAAAATAGTAACCCGCTGTTTAGACAAGAACGCTTAGGCTAAGCTAGTTCTACTCTCCTGCAATAAACTTTGTAAACCGATCAACGGTATCTACAGTCGTTCTCGTATAGTAGCACTAGAGAGTAACGCAAATCATTATGTTAAATAGGGGTAAAAATAACAGTAATCAAGAAAGTACATGCAAAAAGTACAAGTAATAAAATTGCGTCATGCTTTATCACAAGGAAATCTATTCCCTGTTGAAACCGAGGNCTGTTTCTTTGTTTGCTATGAGAGAGTGCTTGTCTGAATAGTTGTCAGAATGCCAGAAAGTAAAGAACTCTAGAAATAGCCATAAACCAATCAGAACGTGTGATCCGCGATCCGTAATACGTGAAAAGCGCGGGAAATGTCACATGATTCAAATTGGTTTAGGTTTTTGCAAACCGGCATCTTTGGTGTGATTTGTTAGAACTGGTTTCACGCATGCATGACATCGGTTATAGAACACTAAAGCACAAATGCACAGTAAACAAACACTCTATAGTCATTGTATAAGACAGATAAGCAAACCAAGTTGGATTCCGTTGAATTAAAATAGTTAACCGCTGTTTAGACTAGAACGCTTAGGCTAAGCTAGTTCTACTCTCCTGCAATAGAATTTGTAAACCGATCAACGATATCTACAGTCGTTCTCGTTTAGTAGCACTAGAGAGTAACGTAAATCATTATGTTAAATAAGGGTAAAAATAACAGTAATCAAGAAAGTACATGCAAAAAGTACGAGTAATAAAATTGCGTTATGCTTTATCACAAGGAAATCTATTCCCTGTTGAAACCGAGGTTGTTCAATACCATTTTACGCGGAGAAACCGTTTCGTCAACGGTTTGTGCAAATGGCAACCAAAAAACCCTTTGGGGTATCGAGTTCCGTCCGGATTGGCCATTTACCAAACTTAACAACTCCCAATTTACTGAAAGCAGGGGTGGATCTAGGTTCTCACATGAGTGATTTGCACCAACTTAACTAGGGGGTTTGGGGCCATGGTCCCCAAGAAACTTTGAAATTTAGTTGTCTCAGAATGCAATTTTCCTGCATTCTGAGAGGTTTGGAAACATTCGAGTGATTTCTGGAAATCATTTGAATTACTCTGTATCTACCCCTGGAAAGAACTCGACGATGAGTTCAACCAGATCACAATTCCAAGATGGCGGCTGGAACTGCTGTAGAATTGCAAATAGTAAGCACATTTTCCATTCGGATATTTCGCCGCGAGAAATTTTGGACTACCTTTCAAGACGCTCCGTATATTTCGGAAACTTCCGGTCGGTTGAGGTAAAATTGACTTGGCAATTACATTCCGACCGAAATTTCCGGAATTTTGAGGGTAAATAGTTAGAAACCCGAATAAGTCGACTTCTGTTTGTTGTACGTCAATTTTACCATAGATTACAGTAAAGCATTCCTCACTGAAAACTACGTTCTATCTGCGAAGAGTTCACTTACTTGAAACTCTTAAAGCACCAAACAAGGCTAACCTTTATCTTTTCTCAAGATATCAATTCACTGTCAATTTGATTGGTGATGATGCACTTCTAAATTCTCATACAACAATCAGCCAGGAGAGTTGATATTTGGAGCTTAGTGCTGAAAGACTTAAACACCAGTAACGCCGACAATTGAGAATGCAGCCCAATGCTGAGGACTTCGTGTGTTGTCTTTTGCTTGAAGAATCTTCATGGCCTTCTGTAACGACACCGCAGCATCACGGGAAGCCTTATATTCTCGGTAAAAGTATGTCATGAGTTCACAAGCGGATCGGTCGTCAATCTTCCAGAGCGTGACAATCACGCAAGCGCCNAGAGGTCTGGAAACATTCGAGTGATTTCTGGAAATCATTTGAACTACTCTGTGTCCACCCCTGGAAAGAACTCGACGATGAGTTCAACCAGATCATAATTCCAAGATGGCGGCTGGAACTGGTGTAGGATTGCAAATAGTAAGCACATTTTCCATTCGGATATTTCGCCGCAAGAAATTTTGGACTACCTTTCAAGACGCTCCGTATATTTCGGAAACTTCCGCTCGGTTGAGGTAAAATTGACTTAGCAATTACATTCTGACCGAAATTTCCGGAATTTTGAGGGTAAATAGTTAGAAACCTGAATAAGTCGATTTCTGTTTGTTGTACGTCAATTTTACCATAGATTACTGTAAAGCATTCCCCAATGAAAACTACGTTCTATCTGCGAAGAGTTCACTTACTTGTAACTCTTAAAGCACCAAACAAGGCTAAATTTTATCTTTTCTCAAGATATCAATACACTGTCAATTTGACTGGTGATGATGCACTTCTAAATTCTCATACAACAATCAGTGAGGAGCTTAGTGCTGAAAGATTTGAACACCAGTAACGCCGACAACTGAGAATGCAGCCCAATGCTGAGGACTTCGTGTGTTGTCTTTTGCTTGAAGAATCTTCATGGCCTTCTGCAACGACACCGCAGCATCACGGGAAGCCTTGTATTCTCGGTAAAAGTATGTCATGAGTTCACAAGCGGATCGGTCGTCAATCTTCCAGAGCGTGACAATCACGCAAGCCGCGCCAGCCGCCAGAAATGCGCGTGACAGACCTACACAGAGAGGCAGAAGTCATTGCTTAAAAGTTTGAAGATAGTGGCAACATGATTGACTACATATTGATACACGAGCGAGACACGTACACGAGCAAGACACACTTTTTAGGTGGATGCATATAAACGTACTTGCCAAACACCAGGTGCCTTATTTAATGGGTCTCTGTGCATGACGGTAGACGTCTGTGTAAGAGGCAAAGGGAAGAGAGAGTTTACTTTTGATCCGTAAGAGCCGTTTAGAAATGTCCGTTTTTACAACTGTTCAACTCGTCCAAACTCGAACTGCTCTGAAGCCTGAGTTTCAGCAGTCTCATCTGGTGGCTTCCTCCCTCTGCAACAGGCGACAGGAAGGGACGGCAGATATTCAGCTTCTGAGGTGGATGCAAGATTTTAGAGAAGGGGATTCGAGACACGGACTACAAGGTGAAATACCCATAACCATACAATACCCATGCGTAGACCCAACTGTAGAACGCTCCAGACTCGTCAAATTCTTTCACCACGGAGTAAAAAACCAACGTTGTGATGAGTTTACGACTGACTTCCAGCAGGTTATTGAAGGATTCTTCTATAAATTCTTCATTCAGAGAAGTCGTTTCTTTTTCAGCGGATTTATCTCCGTGTAATCGCTTACGAACAATTTCGGCCAGTGCTCTTCCTCGGCTGGTATCCGCCAATACTAACGCCTCTTTATACTTCAGTTGGGCGACGAGAACAACTTGTAACAGGTTGTATGCTTCGGCTTGATTCTTCTCAAAATTCGACAGCTTTGATTTGTCTTCCTCGCCGATCTGTGCACGGATCTTTTCCAGGGTTTCAAACGCGTTGAGAATGGATCTCTCTGCTTCTGGTAGCTTTCCACTCAGCAGATAATCCATTGCTAACTGATGCTGCATGATGGCTACTCCACCGATGTCCATCCGTCTTTCAGCATTGTCTCTGTATTTTATATGGCAAGCGATAGCGTCTTCGAATCTTTCCAACGCTCTGTAAACTGTGCCTAGATTTCCCCACGCCATTCCTTCACCTGCGACGTTGCTGGCCCTTCGAGAGACATTCAGTGCAATTTGAAACATGGTAACGGCTTCTTCGTTGTAGCCTATTGTTGTATAAAGCTTTCCAATTTTGTTGAATGCGATGCCCGTGCGAGCAAAATCACCCACTTGTTCAGCAAGAGAGTATTCAATGAACTGGTACATTACAGAATCGTCAAACTCCTCAGGATTGTAAAACTTCAAGAAGCCGATATTACCGCAGGAGATTGCCAGGCCATGAACATCTCCTCTGTTCAAAGCGAAGTTGTGATGAATTGTGTGAAGTCTCTCTGCATCTTTGTATCTGAAACGAAGGAATGTATACATGAGAATTTAAATCTTAAATTGCTATTTATAGCCTGTGAACAGGTTCTCTAGTTGAGGATGGGGCGAAGAGAAGGAGGGAAGAAAGAGAAGAGGAGAGAGGAACGCCCCAACCCCACCCCATTCCCCTCTCGACCACTTCACTCACAGCCAACCCTTTCAGCCGCGGCCAGATCCAAGTAGCCGGAGCCTGTTCACAGGCTGTGTTATTGAGGACACAGCTGTGAAATAGTAAGCTTTTTGCCCTCTCATTCGAAGGTAATCCGAATTAGCTAACTCAAACGGTTTCAATGCAGTCCCCTCGCATAATTGTTTGTTTTCGATTAACATTAAAATTTGTCGGTGTACGAGTACGTTTTGATATCCTGATTCTTGGTAGCCTAATTTTGAAGAATATAAGGACATTGCAACTCTCACGTGATCAATGACTCACCTTCCTTCCGATCTGAAAACATTACCCAGCTCACCACAGCAGCTCGACACAAGCCCGACATCCTTCACTTCTTTTGCTAGATCCAGGGCCTCCCGGAGATACTCTTTAGCTCTGCCCCAGTCTGCCGCAGACCGGCATGCACCACCATAGTAGTGTAGATAAAGAGCTCTTGTGTGCTTTTTCATGGCGGTTTTAAACACCATCAGCGGCTCAAAGTAGGTGTTAATGGCCTCTTTTAGTTCTCCACGATCGAGAAGGCAGACTGCAAGATGTATCTTAGCTAAGGTTTCTTTTTTAAAATCCTTCATGGACACAGCAATTTCCCAGGCCTTCTGATACAACTGTTCCGCCTTGTTTAGTTCTTTAAGCAGACGATGTATCGACCCCAGATCCAGACAAGCATCGAATAATTGCGGCGCTGTCAGAAGAGAGTCTGTGGAAAATAACATCAAGAAAACAAATCAGATCGGCAGAATTGAAGTGAGTCCAGAGCAATACCATTACCAATTTTCTGGGAGACTCCTTGACAGTAGGGAATGCTCGTCAAACCTTTTAAGGGTTGTAAATTAATGCGTATTTTGGTACCAGAGTGTTCCGGCACTGATTTACAGGAAAGGCTATGGCACACTTCCCAGGATTAGCTGTTACTATACTCCGGAAAAAACTGAAATTTTAAAATCACAGATCTTCCTCCCTTCTTGGGGGTAGTCTCTTCTGGGCCGTTTCACTTAGTTGGGGCGCACGAAAATTGGCGCACGCAAAATGGCGCACGAAAAAATAGGGGAGAAGCGCGGTGCGAAAAGTCACGCGAACCCGAGAGAGCGGCGGAAATCGAACCTACGCGGCAAGGGAAGAGAACTTAACGTTCGTTCGCTCCTCGCACTAAGCGTCTCTCTCCCTTATTTCACTCCGCTGAATTTTGCACTGTGTCCCAACTAACTGAACGCCTGGAAGGGGCTATCTTGGTGGAAGAATGCGAGACGAGTCCAAAGGCTGTCTGTACTATGAGCATCCCCTCTTTTCTCTTAGTCCATCGTGCAAGAAACATGAAAGAAACGTGACGCTAAATTTCCCAGTCTCGCTTCTTTTTCGTTTCTCAGTCAATGAATTTAACTCTTGCAGGGGTTTAGTATGAACTTGATTGACACCATGACTTAGCGTGACTTGATAACGCCCGTTTTTAGGGATTCTCGGAAAAGTTCCGAAATCCCTCTGGTCACGTAACAACCTTTGTGTGCGNGGGGGGGGGGGGGGGGGTTTAGGTGAGGGGTGTGGTGAGGTAATCCCAGAGGTGGGTAAAGGGAGAGTGTTGTGGGGGAGGGAGAAATGTTCCCTGAGTAAAGTGACCCATTTACCCCTGTTTATAAATGTTTTTCCCAGGGAATTTTATGTTTAGTTTTTCCACAGTTCTTGCTTCATTTGAAAAAAAAAATTGATGTTGTGGCTTACAGCCCTAGAGAAAGTCTCGGTATTATTCAGTGTAGTAGTAATATTGAGTTGATTTGTTTTGAGAGACTCCTTAACTAGCATGATGTACTGTTCTTTGGCATATGCTAACACATATCGCAGTTTCATTTGATTAACTGTATCATGTTTTATTGCAAGGATCATTGATGATTATTAATATGAAATGTGTTTATTTAAAGTGTTTACAACTACAGTTCAATACCGATGCAGTCGGAATCTGAAAAATCACACATTTAAGGGCTGTTTCTTTGTTTGCTATGAGAGAGTGCTTGTCTGAATAGTTGTCAGAATGCCAGAAAGTAAAGAACTCTAGAAATAGCCATAAACCAATCAGAACGTGTGATCCGCGATCCGTAATACTTTAAAAGCGCGGGAAATGTCACATGATTCAAATTAGTTTAGGTTTTTGCAAACCGGCATCTTTGGTGTGATTTGTTAGAACTGGTTTCACGCATGTATGACATCGGTTATAGAACACTAAAGCACAAATGAACAGTAAACAAACACTCTATAGTCATTGTATAAGAGAGATAAGCAAACCAAGTTGGATTCCGTTGAATTAAAATAGTAACCCGCTGTTTAGACAAGAACGCTTAGGCTAAGCTAGTTCTACTCTCCTGCAATAAACTTTGTAAACCGATCAACGGTATCTACAGTCGTTCTCGTATAGTAGCACTAGAGAGTAACGCAAATCATTATGTTAAATAGGGGTAAAAATAACAGTAATCAAGAAAGTACATGCAAAAAGTACAAGTAATAAAATTGCGTCATGCTTTATCACAAGGAAATCTATTCCCTGTTGAAACCGAGGCTGTTCAGTACCATTTCACGCGGAGAACCCGTTTCGTCAACGGTTTGTGCAAATGGCAACCAAAAAACCCTTTGGGGTATTGAGTTCCGTCCGGATTGGCCATTTACCAAACTTAACAACTCCCAATTTACTGAAAGCAGGGGTGGATCTAGGTTCTCACATGAGTGATTTGCACCAACTTAACTAGGGGGTTTGGGGCCATGGTCCCCAAGAAACTTTGAAATTTAGTTGCTTCAGAATGCAATTTTCCTACATTCTGAGAGGTCTGGAAACATTCGAGTGATTTCTGGAAATCATTTGAACTACTCTGTGTCCACCCCTGGAAAGAACTCGACGATGAGTTCAACCAGATCATAATTCCAAGATGGCGGCTGGAACTGGTGTAGGATTGCAAATAGTAAGCACATTTTCCATTCGGATATTTCGCCGCAAGAAATTTTGGACTACCTTTCAAGACGCTCCGTATATTTCGGAAACTTCCGCTCGGTTGAGGTAAAATTGACTTAGCAATTACATTCTGACCGAAATTTCCGGAATTTTGAGGGTAAATAGTTAGAAACCTGAATAAGTCGATTTCTGTTTGTTGTACGTCAATTTTACCATAGATTACTGTAAAGCATTCCCCAATGAAAACTACGTTCTATCTGCGAAGAGTTCACTTACTTGTAACTCTTAAAGCACCAAACAAGGCTAAATTTTATCTTTTCTCAAGATATCAATACACTGTCAATTTGACTGGTGATGATGCACTTCTAAATTCTCATACAACAATCAGTGAGGAGCTTAGTGCTGAAAGATTTGAACACCAGTAACGCCGACAACTGAGAATGCAGCCCAATGCTGAGGACTTCGTGTGTTGTCTTTTGCTTGAAGAATCTTCATGGCCTTCTGCAACGACACCGCAGCATCACGGGAAGCCTTGTATTCTCGGTAAAAGTATGTCATGAGTTCACAAGCGGATCGGTCGTCAATCTTCCAGAGCGTGACAATCACGCAAGCCGCGCCAGCCGCCAGAAATGCGCGTGACAGACCTACACAGAGAGGCAGAAGTCATTGCTTAAAAGTTTGAAGATAGTGGCAACATGATTGACTACATATTGATACACGAGCGAGACACGTACACGAGCAAGACACACTTTTTAGGTGGATGCATATAAACGTACTTGCCAAACACCAGGTGCCTTATTTAATGGGTCTCTGTGCATGACGGTAGACGTCTGTGTAAGAGGCAAAGGGAAGAGAGAGTTTACTTTTGATCCGTAAGAGCCGTTTAGAAATGTCCGTTTTTACAACTGTTAAACTCGTCCAAACTCGAACTGCTCTTTTATCCTGAGTTTCAGCAGTCTGATCTGGTGACTTCCTCTCTCTGGAACAGGCGACAAGAAGGGACGGCAGGTATTCAGCTTCTGAGGTGGATACAAGATTTTAGATAAGGGGTTTCGAGATACGGACTACCGAAGGCAGTCACCGTACGGGATCCAGGGGCATCATCCCTCGAAAATTTTTAAACTTACACCAGAATTGATTTTTTAATAATTAAAAAAAACTCACCCAGTACTCCATCTCCCGTCAGTTTACCCAGTCCCATATCACAGCAGCTGAGTACCACAAGTTCAGCATTTAGTTCCATACCTCTCACTTCCTCGGCCGTCAGAATACCGTCACACCCGAGCCCAGACGTCGCCAGTACAATGAAGCCCTTCATACTAAAATCGCCGTGGGAGTCTGCGTCGTCAATAATAGCGTGCGTGGCAAAGTGTAGTATTTTATGCTTTG